AAATCAGACTAAAGAATCTTGGTGTCTGTGATGAAGAATCAGATTGAGTATCATCTCTTTATCTCTGTTAGAAATGTATAGCTACTAAGGCAAGAAGTATTTCTGTTAGACCTAAGAAGAATTACAGGTAGTTCTCAAGAATTACAGGTAGTTCTCAAGAATTACAGGTAGATCCTTTAAGAGAATATTTGGGCCTGTGGGGCCAACAGAGAAGATATCATCACCCTTATTAGCCTCTAGAAGGCAGTATGGTAACGGTTGGAAACCAGCCTTAAACTATTCTAATTTGTGTGTATTCATTACAGGGGTAAAGGGATGGCCAGGGGTGGGAGGTGGTGGATGGGGGAAGGAGGTGAAAACAAACAAACAAACAAAAACCCGTATACTACAGTAAAAAAGTCCTTGATTCTGGTTTCAGCTCAGTCCTTGCTTATCACTTGCTGTAGGACCTTGAGCAAGCACTTCCCCCTCTGGGTCTTAGCTTCATCAGACTGGAAGACCACTAGCCATCCTAGAACTAAATCTCTAACACTCATTGAAAAAGTATGTTTAGAGACACTTCCTGATCCATGGACACCTGGGCTCAGCCCCCGGCACATGCACAGGTACACAGCATGTGACAAGTGTTCCCTAGTCGTTGTGTCTCTGCTCACCCCAGGGCAGACTGCTCATGCTTATATCAAAGAAGATAGGAAGGGAGCAGTATATGTATATTTACAATGCCTCCCAGCCCCTGGTGCCTGTCCTTTCATAGTAGCAATTGAAATTCTGAATATATGGGGAAGTTTAGTGGGAAAAATGATTGAAAGAACCGGCTCGTCTTCCCAGGTTCTGTGTTTATCATATTCTGTATAAAACGTTTCCCCTTAGAATTACATTTTAAATAGTGTTAAATATTGACTCAAGGACTAGTAATTTCAGGGATTCAATAGAAGTTCCCAGATCAGCCTAAAAACATGATTATTATTTGTAACTTCACTTCTAGGAGAAAAACTGTGTCCCTGATAGCGAAGAGTTTAAAAATGAACCGTTAGAACACAGACTTTTATGTCTGTGTGAGGGGACAAGACAGTGTATCTGATTACTTTTGCTTTTGTGTCCCCTCCCCTCCAGTCCCCATGTTGAGTATAGAGGAGGTGAGACGGGGAGTGAACCCTACCTGCTCTGGTTGATTCTGACATCCTGCAAAAGAAAAAGAGCATGCGCTTAATTCCCGCACACCCTTCCCATCAGAGATTCTGTACTTCCTGTCTGCTTTAACATATGAGATCAAAGCTTTTCTCCTCCAGAGAGTTGTGTCTGTAATTACCTACTCCTGAGGCTTCTCATGCTTTCTTACTAATTTAGAACTCTGGAATCAGTTCATTTGAACGGGTTTCTCTGTCTCAGCCTCATCCTGGGCCTGTGTCTTGCCTCCAACGATTAAGAGATGGTGGAGAGCAGGGACTTGGCCTTGAGTTATCAGCCAGACCTGATGTGAGACAGGATAATACAATGATAATAACAACAGGCACCATTTATTGAGTTTTTTCTGTGAGCCAGGGACCAACCCAAGCATTTTGCATAGATTGTTCCTTATCTTTGTAGCAATGCTATGAGGGAGGTGCTATGATTATCTCCATGTTTAGAGAGGTTAGAAGGCTTGCCAAGGGCACACAGCTGGAAGAGCCAACACTCAAACTTAAGACCGTCTGACTCCAAAGCCCTTGACATGACCACAGTGCATGGGCAAGTCATCCAGCCTTTTGGGGTCTGTATCTCCGTTACCTTTCTGGGACAAGAGAACCTGGTAATCACCAGTTCTTCCCATTGGAAATAATCTCCACTTCCCTTTCCTGCCTTTCTCCAGCATCTTCCAGCCCATGGCACAGTGTACCCTTGCTGTGGAATGTCTGTCCTATCACGAGGTGGTGGGGAGTCTCTTACTTGTAGAAGCTCACTTGCTGGCTGCTGACACTTCTCCTCCAGCTCCTTGACCTGGGCTTCAAGTCGGGCAACCTCCTCAGTGACCCTTAAGATGTACTCATCTCTCTCCTTCCAGATTTGTTGCTCCAGCTCAGTCAACCTGGCCCGCAGAAGACACTGCTGTTCCCCCAGCTCCTGCTGCAACCGCTCAAAAGCTGCTTCCACCTGCTGCTTCTTGCTTTCGATCTGAGTCTGTCAGGGATAGAAAGGCAGACATGGTTAGGGAGAAGCTCACAGAGCCGGTTTCCAGGACCATCATCTATATACTTACTATTGATTAAGAGGAATAGAGAGTAATGAGAAGACTCATTCTCCCAAATAACACCATGGTAGAAGTAGCAATTATAAACTTAGCAATTATGAGAGCTATGCCCTTGTCTTACCTAGAGATTCTAATAATAATGCCACATTCTGCTGTCAGACACACGTTGAACTTTTCAAAAATCCTTCCACATCTATGAAACCATACTAACCCAATGATACATTCCCTAGAGGCAGGTGGAGATGGTTATAGTAATTTCTTAGAGAGCAATTGAAGTAAGAGGAAGCTGTAATGAGAGTCAGCACAACCTAGAAGAGTGTGTGGCTTTGCTCTTAGCCAGTGATGTCACCATCTCTGGGGAATATTTTGATGGGAGCTGAGGGATGCTGGAGAGGTCTCTGTTCCAAAACTCTGACTCCTTGGTCAAGGTAGCAGAAATTCCCACACTGGATTTCCTCCTGGATAACTTTGTAGCACAGGAAAATATGTGGGAAGGAGCCGGATATAGCCACACCAAGGGGTCAGCCTTGTGGTCAGGGCTAAAATGCAGATACTAACATACACCTTCTGGCTCCAAGCTTCCTATCTGAAAGCAATGCTTTTAGGGAGACAGACTGCAATGGGAAGGGCAATGGACTAAGGGTCAAGAGACCCAGGTTCTAGCCATTTCATCATAAACTTGGGCTTCGCCATGTGGTCTTGGGAGCCTTACTTTCCTGGACAGTGAAAATAAGACTGATAATAAAAACAAACAAACAAACAAAAGAAAAAATATAACTGATAAGATGCATCTTGGATTAGAAAATGTCAAAACCACTTCCAGCTTTGGGATTCCACACTCTTGACCCCAAATGCCCTTGTGCAGAGATAGGGAGGTGAATGGGAACAGTGCTCCAGTTCTTTCCAGCCAGGCAACAGATACCAGACAACACTCTTCTGCAGAGTCTGTCAGGAAACCCCCAAAGGACAAAGTGGCCCATGATGTGGCCTTTACCAGAAGCACTTGGAGCTTCTGGTCTTCCCGATTCTTTATGTCCTCAATCTCATCTCTCTCCATGCTTACAGCCTCCAACCGACTCCTGAGACGATCCTGTGTGGAGAAGAATGGGCAGAAAGAAGTGGCTTCATTCATAATTCAACACACAGATATTAACTGTCTCTCATGTTCTTGGCACAGCATTGAGTGCTGAGGGGTTCAAAGGTGAAAAAAAGCCCAGTCCTTGTCCTAAAGAGCTCATCATCCAGGGAAGGACTTGGTCACAAGTGATTAAAACACAAACAAATGCAATAATCAAGGTGGGCACACAATGAGACAGGAACACAGAAGAGGGGACAATTCTATCTATAGGGACAAGGGAAGGGTTTTAGAAAGCAGAAAACATTTACAGCGGACCTCGAAAGATAAACTTCCAGTTGGATAAGAGAAGGGGAGGAGAGGCCTTACTGTCTCTGAACTTCACATTTAAAATATTGTTAGAATGATAAGAAAAAAAGTGAGGGAAGGGGGGAGTATTCTAGGAGGAAGACACCACACGTGAAAAGTATGAGAAACATGTGAGAGTAAAACAATTCAGAAAACAGCAGGCACACACAGGTCAGTCTGGCTGGACACGTGGTGCCTTGGGAAGGGCGGCTGAAAGATGAGATGGAACAGGAAGGCAGGATCCCGACTGGAAATGGCTTCGGGTGCCATGTTAAACACACCAGGCCTTCCTGGGCACTTGGGCTCCACGGGAGGATTGTGAGAGGGGAACAGTATGGTCGGCTGTGTGCTTTAGGAAGGTTTGCCTCAAAGCACATTGCAGGGAGACTGGAAGGAAACAGTGGAGACAGGCAACGCGATGGAGACATGCAAAGTGTGGGTGACAGACGGTGAGAGCCTGGATTTGGTAGTGATTGTGGGGATAATGCAGTTAAAGACTTGAGCGATGCTTCTGAGGAAACTACTTCCAGACCTGGTAACTGGGGGACAAGAGAGAGATCTGAGGGGCAGCAGAAATGGATAATATCCCCAAGACCGGACGGGCTGCCGCCATACCTCCTTTTCTCGAAAGGAAGAGCAGCGCTTGCCGGTGGCCCTTCCCCGTCCCTCTCTTCCCTCTGAGCCCAGCGGTCAGGGCCTTGGTAAAGCCCATGCCCAGTTTGAATCCTGAGAGACCCAGTTCACCCAGGCCCAGCCTGCAGGAGGTCCTACACTGCACTGAGGCTCTCTTTCCTTCCACAGAGATAAAGCCTTGGCTACAATTCTTTGTGCTCCTTCAAAGGACTGGAGCCAAAGTTCCCTCCTAAGACTGTAAATGACCATACATCCCAGTGGAACCACGTCATCCTCAGTCTGGGAAAGCTCCGGGGTCCCAACAGCCTTGGGGTCCCTAGCGTGGAAGCCATGGCCCTTCGTCCAGATCCCGGCCCCATCTCCTTCACCGTGACAGTACTCTGTCCTACCGCAAACAGGCCCAAGCTGAAGTCACCCTTCTTACCCGGTAGGGCTGAATGGCCTCGTCGAGGAAGCCCACAGCGTGGGCCTGGTGGGTGGGACCCTCTCGGCAGAGCACACAGAGGAACTCGGCATCGTTCTCACAGAAGAAGTAAATCTTCTCACCATGTTCCTCGCAGTAAGTCTCCCCAAGAGGACCCAGGGGCACAGGGACCATGAGGGTCTCTGTCTTCTCTTTCTCTTTGCAGAGGGGACAGAGCAGGACCCTGCTGGAGTGCTGGGCCCCCATGTGGAAGGGCTGGGGGAGGCACAGCCGACAGAAGATGTGTCCACAGGTGGCAGTCACTGCATCTTCCAGGGACCTCTTGCAAGCAGGACAGGTAGCCCCTTTGTGGGAGGAGGTTGAGGGCATCACGGTGCCTTCCCCAGCCTGTCTGCTCAGGCTTCTGCCTTAGGCCGCACGATTTCCCTTTCCCTGAAACGGAGCCACTTTGACATGAATCACAGAGGGGAAGAAATAGGAGGCCAAGAGAAAGGAAGGCGGGAATGTCCTGGCAGGGAAGCTACCTGGCTCCACCTGGCCACCACCCATCAGCAGAGCAGGTCAAACTCCAAGTCACCTCTGATTACCCAGCATTTCTCAGCAGTGGCTTGGCCAGCCTGTTCTCCACTCCTAGTCCTTCTGGTCCCTGGGGTGGGGAGCAGAGCATAGCATGAGGTCACAGGCAGATGAGGTTTCCTGGAATGTCTCCCTTAACCACAGTGGGGTGGGGAGCACTGAGGAGGAGACACTGCTTTGTGCTCACCTGAACAGGTGGGAGCCATAAACCTCTGATTCTGAGGTGCGCCTGCAGCAGCAAAGTCCAGCAGAGCGGGAGGGGACGACTTCCGGGACTCGGAAGCTCTGTTCAGAGGCTGCAGGTCCAAGGGTGGTGACTGCTCTGGAGTCCCCTCCTCTGCCCTTCTTTCCTTGCCTCATCTCATCTGCCCAGACTGGTTTCACCTAAACTACTAACCCCACAAACTCCCAACACCAGTGTCCAAACTGGACTTCAGGTAACATCGTACTTCAATTTTAACTTTTAACTGCTGGTGGGAGAAGACAAGAGACCATAATACAAATGATTCATGTTGATAAAACTTAGAAAATTCAATTAGTCAATGAGATAAACACATTCAACCACATTTACCTAATGTTTAGTATTTTCGTATTATGATATCTGATCTGATGACAACTTTTGGGAGAAGGTATGATTACCTCCTTTTACAGAGGAGGAAATGTAAACTGAAAGGCAAAATGACTTCCCCTAAGTCACAGAGCTAGAAAGCTGCGGAGCTGGGGTCAATGCAAGTTTGCAGCTCCCAGCCCTGTGCTCTTCTGGAACTCCGAACCAGGACAAGGATCAAACAGTGGTGGTTCCTCATCCACTCACCGGCACTGTTAACTCCAACCAAGGAAAAGCTCCTTCCGTTCTCCCACTGGGTGGTCAGCTCCCACCCTGTTTGGCTGTCTTTGCACCTCAGCTATTTCGTACACCACCTCCCCTTTCCACCCTAGCCCCCTCCCTGCCGCCTGCAAGCGTGCAGCCCCTGGAGCTTCGCTGTCCAACACGTGAGCCTCCAGCCTCACGTGGCTGCTGAGCATTTCGACGTGGCCAGTCCCAAGTGAGATGTGCTGCCTGTGTAAATATACCCCAGATGTCAAAGACAGCACCAATGAAAACGAAATATCTCGTTACTAATTTTTGTACTGATTACGTATTAAAATGTTAATATTTGAGGCTAACTATTAAAATTGTTTTCACTTTTTACTTAATTATGGCTATGAGGAAATTTTAAATTGCTTATGTGGTTCGCATTGTATTTCTATTGGACAGCATGACTCTGAGACAGAAATATGAGTGCAAATAATGGCCACCCACCGTCTTACTGGTGTGCCTTGGGCCAGCTGAAGAACCTGGCTGAGCTCAGCTAATGTCCTACTGGCACCAGTGTCATAGAGCAGACAGGAGGTAGATCCTAAGTTTCAGCGTGAGGAATAGAGTAGAGTCATCATAAACAAAGGTTGGCTGCTGCTAGTTTTCTTTCTCCTTCCCACACAGGGTGCTTTCCAGCCTCTCCCTGTGGCAGGCCAGTGGGGGCATCGCCGGTGAAGTTGCCTGTGCCGTGTTCCCCGAGGCACAACCACCTTATCTGGGTCCCCATACTCCCTTTGGCTGGCTGATACCCCCAATCTCCCTGGAGACAGCTGGTTATACTGCAGGAGGCTGGGGTGGCTGGCATCACTGCTTTGTGACCCAGTCTCCCCCCGGCCCCCAAAAGAAGAACGACCTCTCTCATCTGTGGACAGTTAAGATAGCACTTTCCTTCTGCTGTGAGTGTCTCTGGATGGACGGGAGGGAACTGTGAGTCCAGGTCATGGGCGCCGGCCCAGAGAGTCACTGAGGTCACCTCTGGAATGCTGTGATCCTTTCTTCCTCCCTTCTCCCCCCCCCCTCTGCTATTTCTCCATCTCTGCTGTTGGAGGTTGTATGTCTGTTCCTTTGGGCGGAGGACAGTGGAACCCTGGCCACCAGAGATGCAAGTGGGTGCCTTGTCCTTGTGTGTGTGCAGGCGTGTGCATGTGTGTGTGTGTCTATGAAGGTGTCAGTGTGTGTTTAAGATGTACCTGTTTCTGGCTGTGTGCACACATGGGTGTGTGAGTGTGTGTCCTCATTGTTCTCCTAGCCCTTCCTCCTCAGCCAAGCAGAGACGGTGACCTTGAGGAGGCCACAGGCACAGCAGCACCATGGCCTCGGCTGCCTCTGTGAGCAGCCTGGCAGATGAAGTCAACTGCCCCATCTGTCAAGGCTCCCTGAGGGAGCCGGTCACCATCGACTGTGGCCACAACTTCTGCCGTGGCTGCCTTACCCGTTACTGTGAGATCCCTGGCCCGGACCCCGAGGAGCCCCTCACCTGCCCTCTCTGCAAGGAGCCTTTCCACCCAGGAAGCTTCCGGCCCAACTGGCAGCTGGCCAGTGTGGTAGAGAACATTGAGCGCCTGAAGCTGGTGTCCTGGCCAGGCTCAGAAGAGGAGGATGTCTGCCACAAGCATGGGGAGAAGGTCTACTTCTTCTGTGAGGATGATGAGATACAGCTGTGTGTGCTGTGCCGGGAGGCCTGGGAGCACCAAGGCCACACTGTACGCTTCCTGGAGGATGCAGCCAGTCCCTACAGGGTAGGACAGGGCAAACGGGGGCATTCCCGGGCTGGGTCTGGACTAAGAGAATCAGAGCAGAGCCATGGATGGTTTGGGCCACTAGGAAGCCAAATTCTATCTCCTTACTTCTATCATCACTCAGGCAGCAGACCCAGGCATGAAAGACCAGGTGTTTGTGTTTTAAGCATGTCGTATGTTGTTTACTCATGGCCAACACACAACAGGAGCTCAATAAATACTTGTTGAATGGATTAGTGACCAAAATGTGAGTGTAAGTGTCTCTGCAATGGATCAGTCAGGTATGTCTGAGGGTGTCTGAGTTTGTATTTGAGGGAACGATTGCACAAATGTTGTGTGTGTGTATTCATGTTTGTATATTTACCAACGGGTGCGGTGTGTTTGGGGGAGGTCTGACTATTTGAGTGTGTAAATGTAAATGTTTGTGAGTAAATTGGTGTTTACATATATGCAGGTTAAGTAAATACATGTGGTGTGCAATTTTATGTCATTAAATGAGCGTGTGCTGTTTTTTTATGTTTCTTGTTTTAGTACAAGTGGGTGTATGTGTCAGTTAATTAATTAGTAGTTGATGATGAGAGCTCTATATGTATTTCTAAATATACCTTTATGAACATTTGCATGTGCATACCTGTTTCTAACTCTATTCCAGAGCCAGCAATTTTAGAACAGCTCGTTGATTATTTTTGCATTATCCAAGTTTCTTCTTCCCTTCAGAATCATACACAGAAAATTGATTCATTCATAAGAGAGGGTTGTTTGGATGTGTTCCCTTTGGGACATGTGAGAAAGTTAGAATAATTTCAAAGGGCATATCAAGCTCAAGACAGATCTCAGATACCACTTACCAAAGGCAAAAGAAATTAGGGTGTTTCCCCTGAAAAAAGAAAGGCTCAGGTGGGAACACCAAGTCACAGCCTATGATGACACAGGATAAAGGGGGAAAGCCCTGACCAAAATTCTCAGAGGAGAAAAGCAAGAGGAAAACAACCCAAAGAGTAAGCTGTGAAGGGCAATGAAGACCCAGGCATGGTGGCTGACGGAGTGACCCCTTCCCTTGGGGCATTCCATTCCTGGAGGCAGAGGGTGGGATGAGATGACAACCATTAGCAAATCATTGTTTCTACCTTAAATATCTGATGCTCCTCCTCTCCAGGAACAAATACAGAAGTGTCTTGAGTGTCTACGAAAAGAGAGAGAGGAGATTCAAGAGATCCAGTCAAGAGAAAACCAAAGGATACAAGTCCTCCTGGTAGGACATCATGCTTCCCCTGGGCCTCCCCTTCCTCAAGGACAGTGCCTCCCAGAAGCTGAGGCACCACAGCATATAGGGCTTGGAAGCCATCCTGAGTTTGAATCCTGACTCTGACACTAACTAGCTTTAGGATTTCAAGCAACTCTAAATCTTGTTTATTTTTCTGTGAAGTGGAGATTCAATTTCTGTAAGGATTGAAATGAGACTGTGTCTATAATGCAATGCAGTGTTGAGCACTTAGTGTGTATTTTGTAAAAGGCAGGAGGTAGGGTATCCCCATACCTCCCTATGCCTCCTCTGAGCCCCACTGTTTTAGAAGCTGCAGCAGATGGTGTGAGGCAATGCTGAAGAATTTAGCTTCCAAAAATGGCGTGGTAGGCAGAAAGGAAACCATGCTGCAGTTCCAAGTCTGTCTGGGAACCTGGGGGTGGGGCGGGGGCTCTGATTTTACCACCAAACCTTGGAAGATGTGGATCTGGGCCAGGAGAAAGATGGGAGTGAACTAAGGAAAAGGAAGAGGAGGAAGAGGAAAAGGAGGTAGAGGAATAACTCCCTGCTGGTCTTTCTTCCTGTCCCCTCAGACTCAGGTGGCCACCAAGAGACAAAAAGTGATTTTCGAGTTTGCATATCTGAGCCAGTTCCTGGAAGAGCAGCAGAGCATCCTCTTAGCCCAGTTGGAGAGACTGGATGGGGACATCTTGAAGCAACGGGATGAGTTTGATGTCCTGGTCAATGGGGAGATCTGCCGGTTTAGTGCCTTGATTGCAGAACTGGAGGAAAAGAAGGAGAGGCCAGCAAGGGAGCTCCTGACGGTGAGGCCTGCCCCGCCCCAACCACCTGAGCTTACCTATGATTTCTTGCATTGTCACTTTGTCTAAGCCATGTCTCCTTCACTCACACATCTCTGATGGGTCACAGGACCAGGAGTTCTGAGTTCTAGTCCTTG